CACCTCAACGTCCTTCTTGTAGTGAGGGGCCCAAAACTGAACACAGTATTCGAGGTGCGGCCTCACCAGTGCCGAGTACGGGGGCACGATCACTTCCCTACTCCTGCTGGCCACACTATTTCTGATACAGGCCAGGATGCCATTGGCCTTCTTGGCCGCCTGGGCACACTGCCGGCTCATGTTCAGCCGTATGTATGTGTATATACATACAATCATTTGACTAGCTTTTCCATGGTAGGTGCTTCAAAACAATGCTGTTACTCTTCAGTAGTTCTGGACATATTTTCAGGCAAAAGAAAACAAATCTAGGTCACACCTTCTAACACCATCAACAAGGGCACATTTGCATCTGCAAGACCATAGGTGTGTGGGACCTGTGTTTGAGCAAAGACTTAGGCTATTGTGCAGAAGAAATGCTGCATTGTCCCTACCATGTAGGGAAGAAATGCTGTAGATAGATAGATAACTGCATGGATGGGAATGCATGCTTGTCTCAAAATTGGCTTCATTACACAGTGATGCCATTCATCGTAAACTAATTGCCAGTATGGCACCGCATGACAAGACTTTGACTGAAACAGCAGGGGAAATAAACTACCTTTACTTTCTTTCCTTAGAAGAGGACATGATTACATTTAATGAGAGCTTTCCATTTTCCAAGCTTTTTTTTTTCCCCTTCAGATCCTGTCAGTCTGAGCCTAACAGCACACACAATGTTTGTGTTTTTGTTTCAGGGATGAAGACAAATATCACAGCCATAACAGAAGAAAGTAGAAACAAGAACCTGATTATTTTGTTTGTCAGCTGTTCAAAAAGTTTCCTGCACAGGAACTATCGTTACTGCTGTTGTGCCAGGGACAGTAATGCTGTGTACATAATATTGGTGTTGCATCACAGCTGTGCTTGGAGACAAAAATGAAATAGCACTACGGTTTGTCAGGATGGAAGCAGTATACATCAGAAAATGTGTAAATGTGTAACACTAATGCATCTATTAATAAATTATATTGATCTCTCTCATCTATTTGAGTTTAATCTGACAAGGCTGAAGACCGAAATCTGTGAGAGGCTGTACTAATTTGCCTTCCTGGCCCATAGTTAGGGGATATAGAACAGAGCTAACCCCTGGAGTCTAGGATCAATTACAAGTGAAAAGGCATGAAGAGAGCTCCCCTCCTACACTCTCACCTGACACTGTCACCTCTGGGAACAGTGTTCCAGAAAGACAGCACTTACTGCCTAGTTACAGCATGTAGTAGAGGTGAGAGGGCAGGTATCGGAGTTCTCCAACAGGCTAAAATATCTTCAGCTGCAGCTAGTGGTAAAAGGACAATAACAGGAAAGTTGTTACTGTTCCCAAGCTTATGCTCAAAGAAATTTAGGATCAATGTCATCTGACAAAGATGATGAGAATATAGCTCTCCACAGAAACTAGTGGGGAGGTACCAAGGACACTTGTAATATTACTGATTGATTGCCATTTTCAAACACCGGGTGCATATCCATTTCCTTCCAGAAATAACCAGGAGGAGTTCCCATCCTGTAGACTAACACGTAAGTATTAGTGATAGAGGTTGATAAAACAGTAAGACTTAAGATGTGCAGGTACACAGCAAGGGTGTGCAGGAGGATTCCACCTAACTTCAGCGATATTTTTATTATATCAATTTCTAGTCCTGTTAATTCCTCACACAATCTGCTATAGCACGGTCAGTCATCATCAGCCAAGCTTGTTACTGCAACTAAGTAAGCAACTGTAGAAGAACAGGGTTGCAGATCCATCTTTCCTACAATACTTTCTTCTGTTTGATCGAGTTGCCAGGAGAGGGCACTCCATATGCTCCTGGTTTTGGCCTTCTCTGGTACTGGAATCTCTGTAGATACAAGTTTTACTGTAGACACTAGTATCCTGACTCTTATCTCAACCATTTCTGCAATTAAGTATGACTATCTGTCACTAAATACTTAGTCTAGTTCTGATTGATTTAGACTTCTGTACCTACTACAGCTGTTCAACTCAAAACCAAACTGAACTACATGTCAGGTATTTCCTCACCTACGTGACAAATGCAGTAGCTTTTCCTGTCAGAAAACAAAACATATTTTAAAACAGATCTTTGATTAGAAAAGTCCACCTAAGAATGGAAAAGGATATCTAAGTTCTGAAAGGGTCCTAATTAGAGGGAAAACAATATGGAATCATTGCTGTCCTTTCTCGAGTTGATGTTTCTTCCAGCAGCTCAGCCACAGGGTTCTTCATGTTGAATAAGGCTTGGTAAAAATACTCGTTTAATAGAGCTTGTTCATTCAGACAAGGTAGTCAAAAGACAAGCTGTATTTGTGCAAGAGTCAAAAGAAGTCAGTGCTATCCAGAAGTGTGACGAGAAATGCACCAATTACGGCTGTCCAGTCTTTTCTAAATTGAATTTTGCATTTTACTTCTTTTCTTACAATCACTTACGAAGTATAGGTAGGAAGATCCGTAACAAAATACATTTTACTCAATATAAACAGAAGGTATCGCTCCCCAGGTGTGAGCATCAGTATTTGAGAGGCAGGAGAACACTGTAACCATGTATTCAATTAACATCCACTGAAGGGCCATTTCAAGAGTGGGATAAAGAAAAGGAAGCACCAGAGAAGAGGATCTTATTCTACTGTAATGTGCAAATAACAGTCCTTTGAGCACAAATTATTTTCTTGCACGTATTTATTCCTTTTTTTTTTTTTCCCCCTCTCACCTGCTGCTGAAGAGTAGGCTTGATCAAAACAGTGTTGAGGGCTGGGTCAGAAAGTTTCTGAGCAGCACCATGCCAGTTTGTTGGTTGCTGGAAAGGAATAAGCCAAATGTTTTAGAACAACACGTTAACATGGTAAATCCTAGTGTGTTGGACAAGATACAGTTGAGGGTTATATTAATTGCAAGCAAGAGCGGTGTGATCAAGAAGTGGTTCTTACTAAAAATTGTCAATCTGGTAACCGTAATGACAAAACAGATTGGTTCATTTGTGTGCTCGTGCATTTTTGAGCTCCCATACATGTGGAGCTGGTAGCAATCTAAGACAGAAAGACCAATTCCAGATAGATGGTAGGAAGAGTCAGTATCTGTCTGCAAACATGCCACGTAGGCAGCACTTGGAGGACAAGCCTGTTACAGATCTTTCAAAATTGGTTAAAAATGAAGTGCATTTTGTGTGACCTGTGTGCGACTATGGATGAGTGGGAGTTTATCACTGAAAGCTGGATTGAAGACACTGTCATTTTCATACATTCCTAATGCTAATTCTGTGCTAATTCTAGCAGAAATATATGCAGTATCTTGATGGATCCTTTCCTCCATCTGCTAAAAAGTTAGGAGGTTTTGACACTAGATTTTGTGGGCACAAGACTTCACATAACCAATCCAAGTCTATTAGAGATGAGATTTTCACCTGTAGCAGTTAGCATGAGTTAGACCTAATTAGCAGCTGTTAGCACAAGCCTATGAATTTTAAGTTTTTGCTGTTGTAGAAGTTGACAAAAATACGATCAACCATCTGTCTAAAGCAACAGAATAGTGTTGCTGTGCTCAAGAAAAAAGGTAGCCAAACTATGTCAATACCCTGTTGATCATCATGAAGTGCAGGTGTCCAGAAGTATTCAGAACAAACAAGCTGTGACCACCAACGATGGTGACAGCACATCAGAAAATGTCAGCGCACTTCGAATGGGCCGATCACCAACAGGGTATTCTCTACCCAATCCTGTAAGAAGGACACCTAATAATATTGGGGGAAACCATCGTTTGCTAACAGACTACTCGATGAAGCCAACAGGTGAGAACGGGGTTGCTTCTTCATTACGAAGCAAGCCAAAGGTTACACAATGGCACAGAAAAGACCTGAACGCAGCTGTCGTCGATAGCAAAATGGATAGCCACACGGTGAGTTTTTGCTTAACCTTCAACCTACACATCTCCTGCTGTGAAGAACCACGTCAGTTCATGGCTTACTGACAAGACTGACACCAAACTATAAAGCCAACCCCAGAGCAAGCAGAGAGAGAAACACAACAGACTAGGAATGTACCCAACCACCTCAACTTGGTACAAATAGCAAAACAGGATGAACTATTCAGGTGGGACTATGTCCTGCCATTGTCCTTCATATCCACTGAAGGCAGCAAACAGTGAGACCATTCCAGGAAGGACAATTTACCATAGCTAATACTACAAAAATTGAAGAGTCAAACCATTTAAGACCAAGCATACACTAAATATTTCCCCAACAAAATTTCTAGGAATAAGTAATTCAGGAGAAACATGACAGAAAATTCAGACCTCAAGTGGGGACTCACAGTTTCTCTCTCTGATTTATGGTCTATGTTAAATCAAAAGAGCAGCCCGTAAGATGCTGCTGGTTCCAGTACCAGTAATATGCAGGTGATACAAACCTGTATATAATCGCTTCCTACAGGGAAAATTATACCACCAGGTAGTGACTTCAGTATTTCAAAGACAGATGGATAAATAATAATTTATCATTAAACAGTTCAAACCCCGATGTTGACCACTTAACAAAAAATACCTATGTACACTTTCAATATAACCTTAGTCAACCTTTACTCCTGTCATTGTGGCTACACCCAAAGTGAAGATAGACTATTCACCTGAAACTAAAGGTTTATGGAGAAGCCAGAGGTGATCCATACATTCAAATTCCATGCGTGGATTTTTACTTACGCTTGTTCCTTAATTCCGTGGAGGAATGCTTCAGTTTTCTCCTCTGGTATCTCTCCATCAATACTGGCCAAATAGGAGTAGAGGAATGAGAATGTTTCGAAGGGAACGCGAGCTGCTCCACCTTCTGGGTCCCTTGTTAAGATTTCGCAGGCATGTTTCATTGAACTCAGTAAGGACTGTAGGGGGTTCAGTCAAGAAATGAAAGGAACAGTATCAGAGCCACGAACATCCTTTGCATACCATGACAAAATCCACACTGTAAGCCACTGAAAGTGAGTGTAAATGAGATGAAGGCTTTATCATAGTTACCTAGCTTACAACCCCAAATATACCCTCCAGTGCAGGTCCAGGGATGGAAACAAAAACGAAGTTCTAGTAGAAACAGGAGTAAAAATTACCAGAATCCCATGATGTTTTAAGATTGCACAGGGTAGTCTGAGCCTTATCTCCAATATGGCCAAATTGTTCTGTTCTGCTACCGTAAAAGCTCAAACATCACTATACCTAGCACTATATATACGCGCACATGTGTGGTGTGTATGTATATATACATATGTATGTATATGTATTTCTTATCTCAATGGATCTAAAGGAATTCTCAGCAGCGGTTAAGACAGACAATCTACAAAACCCAGAAAATTCATATGGTTTTGATGATTTTTTACTATGACATAATATTAGTATGATATTAATTCTTAGGAATGCTGATATTTACTATTTGCCCTATTTGTGTGCAAGTTCCATTTTAGTAGTTAGTAGAAACAGCACTGAGGCAAAAAGCATTTCAAGAATGTTTCAGTTTTAGTCAAAGCCAAATAACATCCGAGTTCCCTTTAGAACAAACATGCCTCAAAGTATTAATTCCAAATATACTTTAAAAAAATCCTTTATTCAATATGATGTCTATAATCCAGTGCCCTATGCACGCTGAGCTACACGGGGAAACATGTGGAAAAAATCACCATTGAGCTTCATTGAGTCAAAGACTGGTTTGACTCAATCCATCCAAAGACTGGATGCCATTAAAACAAAGAAAGAAAGAAACAAACCCCCCCAAAACCTCACACAGGCCTTTTTTAACCCGAGTAGTAATATTTTTGCTATAACTTTTTCAAAATCTATCCTTACCACTTCATTAATAAGCAAGCAACGACTTTGTAAAAAGTAAGTATTTCCTAACAGTAGAACAGCAATATTTAAAATAAATGCAGTATCTGTTGAAGATCTAGCACACAGGCCAGAGAAGTGTCATTTTATAATCCCTTAACAGTTTTACTTAACGTAGTTCCCCCCTGGGAGGCCTCTGTGGGCAAGGAGAGGCAGTTGCCTACATGATGGCAGACGCGACCCTCTGCATTTTGCTACCCCTCTACTGCCGTTCCTGCTCCTGCCGCTCCAGGCTGCCACGTGCTCGCTCTCAGAGCGCAGCAAAGTTATTCACATCGATTTCCCCACCTGTCAAAGGCAGTTTAGCAGGCTACTTATGTGGTCATTTCTCCAAGGCTGTAAATACACATCAGTGCTTTACAGAAAGAAACTTTGGATGACTAGTGTTTTTAAGCAGCTCATACTTGTCTACTCTTGTATCTTACCCGTGACCCTATTCAACTTTGAACACAATTTACAGCTGCAGGAAAATAATGTAAATTTCTTGTGTGCATCTTCCTCTCCAGTTTAGGAAATTTAAGTTTAGGTTTCAATATGTAGAGCAGAAATCAAATCATTCACTTAATACCTGAAAGGATGCATAGATAGAGGTACATTTAGACTGTCTAGCTTCATCAGAACGATGTTCCTGTGACTGTTTTTGTTTCAATTTTTTTTTCTTAAATAAGTAATGTTGCTGTTCATGTAAAAAAAGTAAGATAGAACCCAAACTACAAAATCATGTTGGGAGGGGGATCGGAATCAAGAAATACACAGTTGAAATGAATAAATATATAAATACATGATTGCATCGCCAGGCCAGGTTAACATTCAGGGCTTCCAGATATTGCAACATTCTCAAAATATTATTTAACATATATTTTCTTTTTAGTACCCCTTCTTCTCTGCTGTAGAAGTCATTAAAAATATTATACTTCATAAGAACATCAGCTTAGTGCATTTTATAATCTCTCATTCTGTTGAAATGCTCTGCTGAGACTTTATTACTGACATTAAAAGCATTAAATGTAGATTTAGTAACATTAGCTGGTTCTGTGAAAATTTAATTGGCTACACAATCAATTAAAAATTGATCGTTTAATTTCTCCCTCCAGTTCTCCTCCGTGGATATTTACACTGATGCCATAAGCATCGTTCCTCTATCATCCTCTCCCTCATGGTCCAAGCTCCCTGTGGACACACTTGCTCTTCTACTGCCATCCCAGTAAACTGAGGACTTGGCCCTCTTTCTGGTTAAGCTCCCCTAACCAAAAGCTGATGGGCAACAGAAGTAAACACGCAAGCCACTTTGCCAGCTGCTGCAAAAGCAATCACCATTCCCCAAAGTCCATCTGCATTAATTGTTCTACGGTCTACCTCATATACGATCATATAAGACTGTTTGCGTTTGGATACGAGGGCTCCTGCTGTGAACATACCCTGCCGAGCAAGCTGCACCCAAGTGCCAGAACCTTCATCCATTCCACCTCCTCACCGAAGTCATCCAACTGCAGGATAGCTTTCAGTTGCTCCTCCGGCAAGCACAAGTGCTTCCACTTTTCCTTCAGTTCTGCAACATTCACCATGCCTTTGGGAGAGAGCTTTAAACAAAATCATGATACCACAATAAGAACTCCAAAAACCAAAATGAAACTAAGAACACAGTCCCTCCCCAAAATACGTCAAATACTTGACAGTCAGTCTCCCCAACCATCCCCAATACATCAGCATTCCTTGATAGCATTGTGCATTTGATAAAGCTTGGTTTGTACCTGTTTGTGCAAGATTTTAAGGAGTCCTGGGGTCAAACCAGCGTCTGTTTTCTCTGTTGCCAAAGGCATTTCAATCCTCTCCTTCACAGGAAGGGGCTCACCTTTTGACAATGCTGAAAAATACCTAAGTGAATGGGAAGAGCAACACGCTTCAATGCCCATGGTCATTACAAGCTGCATAGAAGTAAACGCTCTTACAGTTCAGTGAATGAATCCGCACGCTCCCGTGCAGGAGTGGCAGCACTCGGCAAGCCGCCCGCCTGCACAACTCCCATCTCCCCCCGCCCAGATACCACCTTTCTTTTTAGTGGAAACCACAATCTTTAGACTTTACACACTCCTTTTTACAACGCTCTAATAATTCTTAAGGCATTTAACTTATTTTGTGCACGATATACTCAGCCCTTCTTGGCAGAGAGTGACTTATTAACATCAGGGTGGGCTTGCAAACCAAAGCGCAGGCTTTTCCCATTTGACTGTCGAGCACCTTAGGGCTGATTTGTTTAACATTCCCCTCACACGCTACCCAAAAAGCATGACTGGCTCTTTACGCTGCAACTCTCTCATCAGCGTTTCTGCTATTTCTGTCCACGCCAAAATAAAATTTAAGACTAGAACAGAAAGGGAATTAGATGCACATCCTTTTAATTATAAGGCCACCACCACCTTAAGAGCAACCACCTCTGCCATAACTGGCCAGCAATCTGAACCATGCAAAAAAACTTAGTTTTCATTCAGTCAATAGCAGGTCTAACTTAAGGGTTTCTCCGTTCGCCCTCCCTCATCTGCCCTGGTCACCCATGTCCACGCCTAGGCTATCCCATGCTGTGCAAATACTTGCCAAACTGCACAGCAAGCAGCACTGCAGAACTGAAGTAGTGTGACTGTATAGAAATAGATGCACGGTATGTATGTACATATAACACCTGGGCTATTTTTCAGCCAGATTCATTTCCCCATCTGATTATTCATAGGGACATGCACTACAACACCGGCAGAGCATGTGAAACCACAGCCTTGCCCTGCTTTGCGTGGCTCCCAGGTCCAGACCTTCCTCCACCCCAGGTGCTCTTGCACCAGGGCATATTCCAGAAAGGGGTGCGCAGTCAGCAGTAGCCACCCACTCATCTGCAGGAGCTCCTCCGACTGAGTTGGTGCGATCTTTAATTTTAACCTTAAGCAGAGGTCAGGGTCTGGCCAGCAGCGTGGCCGCAGCAGTGCTGCACTGCCCCTGCTCTCACCAGCTCCACGTCCCAGCAGGCTTAAGCTACCTGGTAGCTGCCGCTTCCGAGTGCTCGGTTGGGGCAAGGTCCCTGCACATCCATGGCCCAGAGGTATGCCGCACTCCACCTCCATCACATTCCTAAGAAGCACCATGCCGTTTTAAGATGTTCCCGCTGCCTTTCTCCAACACTGCAGCTGTAGCGATTCAGCTTCAGTTTTTTTTCTTTTTAATGGACTAGCCAGACTCCAGCCTGGCTTTGTTAACAGCCTCCCCTCCCTCACGTACACAGCACGGACTTTTTTAATCCCCCCCAGTTGGGAACATCTCAAGAGATACCTTTCAAGAGCTTGTCCACACAAACTGTAGGACAGGAAAAAATGATAGTGAGCGGTTGCGGTAAAAGAAAAAAAAAAAAGAAGTTAAAGAAGAAGAAACATTTAAATATCTTAAAACAACTTCATGATGAGAGATTTATTATATAGACTATCACCTAGAAGTCACAACTTTCCAGGCTCTTTTCCTATTTCAGTAACATTTAAGGAGGTTCCTTAATTTTGTTCCTGGAAACAACAACAAAGAAAAGAAACCTAGGCAAGCTTAAGAATTAGAAAGCTATTTCTAGGTTTCCTTTAAATGCCAAGAATTTAATTAAGTCTCACATGGGGGGGGGGGGGGGGGGGGAAGATTTGGTCTTTCTTAAACTTAAAGGACCTCTTTGCTCTTAAAGGACAGAGCAATTAGCAACAACAACAACAACAACAAAAATTAAGATGCATTCTTCTATATGGAAATAAAACTATTCCAGAAATATGCCAGTCCTAAACCTCAATGAAACAGAAAATAAATCAAGTACTACACTATTCTTAAAAGGCTCACATGCTGCATTAATGCACAGAAGCACATATGCAATACACAGCCTGGTTTAATATTCAAGCCAGCTCCACCATACAATAAACAGGAGCAGCGAGATTTTGTGGGTCCGTACACATAGTGCTACATCATCACGTGAGCATCCTACTTACGCAGCTGCCCACTGCAAAACATCACGAGGTTGAGTCCTAATAGCAGCTTTGGTAAATTGCTTCAGGATATCAGGTAGCTCAGGGGGGATTTTGATCTGCTGAGCACAAAACATGGTTTCTGGAAGAGGCATGGTCTGTTTGCGTTCAGTGACAAGGACCTGGAAGAAATAATAATAAAACAGCAGTTCACAGATGCAGAATGTGAATGAAAACCTGTGTGTGCATATGGGGGGGCAACAATCCTTGTACCCAAACTCCCTCCTGTCCTACTCAACTGCTGGGGCTACTGGAGAACTGACAAACTCAGAAGGGTAAACAGACGAGCACCGCGAGTCTCTAAAAACCTTAAACTCGATGGCAACACAAAGCAAAAGACTGGAGCTTGGACACCAACCGCAGCTCTGGGTAAGGAGAACTACTACTTTAACAGGTATCTTTAGATAGTTTTAAACTGATTTTTTTCCTCAAACTTACCACAATACGAACTTGTAAAACAGGTAGTCCAGACATATCACACCACACGTGCCAAGGTGAAAGCTAGCTATATTAACAACTCACTACTGCAAGCCAAGGAGAGTCTTGTCATTTTTGTACAGAAGCTAGAGTATGCAGATTACCAAGTTTCTATTGCGTTTGTGTATTCAGAAAACACTGTAGCAAAAAGTTACTAATTCGTGCTCCTGGCAGACTTTACATCAAAAAATTACAGTGATGAACAAAACATTCACGTATGCTGCAACTACGCATTGCACTTTGCTCATACAGCTCTACAGGTAGGTTTGTCTTACTCAGGATGTAACTTACTTGCTGCAAGGAATCCTGTGCCCCAAGATCCAAAAGAAGGGGCAGACATAGGTTATTGTATGGTCCTTATCCCATTATAGCATCTGAGCGCATTCAGTGGGAAATCTGGGCACTCTCCTCATCATTTAAAGGACAAACTACAGCCTACTTAAGCTGACTTCGCAACAGAGCTGAAAACATGTCAGCTATTTGCAGAAGGGAAGCAACGGCATCAAGAAAGGAATCAATGTAACAGCATCCTTTATCCCTTTTGATTTTTTTTTTTTTAATTTTTAAGATTAAAATAAGAGTATCTGGCAGGTGGCTTTCTCCCCCTATCATGTGAATATTCCTGTATTGGAAAAAAAAATTAAAAGTCAGCAATGGAGAAATGGGACTGCTGTGACTCAAGGCTCCTTTGAGGATCAAACCGTACTCAGAACTTTATTTCTGGAGAAATGCAGACAGGGTACAGCGTCTTCATTACTCCAACGCAGCAAATCTGCATCAGGGACAGACTTCAGAGTGTGCATTTAATTACTACATTGGTCACGCACTTTCAATAACGATTCAAAAATGCAGCTCTAGCCCAGGGACTGAAGCTGAAGGCAAAATGTTGGGGATTTCAGGATAAGCTAGGGAACAGAAAAAACCTTGAAGAAGGAATACACGTGTGTGTGCACGTGCCCTTGGGAAGCAGTTAAAGAAAAGAATAAAAAACTAATCAGAAAAGTAGAGAGAAAAAAAAGCGCGAGACCTGCTTTTCTATAGTAAGCCATTAATCACAGAGTCACAGAAGGGCTGAGGTCGGAAGGGACCTCCGGAGGTCATCTGGTCCAGCCCCCTGCTCAAGCAGGTCTACCTAGAGCAGGCTGCCCAGGACCATGTCCAGATGGGTTTTGAGTATCTCCAAGGAGGGAGCCACCACCACCTCTCTGGGCAACCTGTGCCAGTGCTCAGTCACCCTCACAGTGAAAAAGCGTTTCCCGATGTCCAGAGGGAACCTCCTGTACACACACGCACCTAGCGAGCAGAGTGAAACGCAGCCGGGTCAGCCAGCCTTTGCAACTTTTCGCTATCAGGCCGCGGCAATACCTAGCGTTTGTGCTCTAACACGGGTTACTCTCTTGCTGAACACAGCGGTCATCTAATCTCTCTCACCTCCTATTTGCTCTTATTTTCTATTTTTCCGTTCATGCGTCCAAAACTAACCCCGGGTGTTCTCGGTACAAAGCGAAAACCAACAAGTATGCGCAGGCAGGTTCGACTTGCCTAGCTGCTGGCGACAGCGATCCACAGGCCCAGAGCCGAAAAGGAGCGCGGCTGGCTCTGGACGCCCCAGCCACCCGCTTCGGCAAGCCGGCCCGGCCCGCGGCCTGAGGGCCGGGCGCCCCCTCCCTCCTCCCGGGCCGCCCCGAGCCAGCGGAAGCGCC